CTGTGGTGCTTTCTGAGGCTCTCCTTGCTGAACGGCTTCGGACTCTCGCAGCTGCCACTCCGCTCGAGGTCGTTCTCGCCCTCGGTCTCGCACGAGCTCCGGGAGGACTGGGGGAGGGACAGGGGCTGAGGGGGAGGCGTCTGCTAGAGGAGGCTTTCCTCTCTTCCTCTCCCTTTCTTTCTTCTCCTTGCTCTCCTCTCTTTCTTCTCGCTTGCTCTCTTGCTCTCTTTCTTGTTTCTCAATCACTCACCCATCCACATACTCTTTACTTTCTTCTCCCTATTTTCTTCCGCTTTCTCTCTCTCTCTCTCTTCTCTCTCTCTCTCTCTCTCTCTCTCTCTCTCTCTCTCTCTCTCTCTCTCTCTCTCTCTCTCTCTCTCTCTCTCTCTCTCTCTCTCTCTCCCTCCCTCCCCCCTTTCTTTCTCACTCTGTCTCAGCGCAAATGCATTACACACAAAGTGAAATCCCACATCCCTAGATCCCCTGTCAAGTTAAAGCAGCGACTGCATGGCGCACCCCACACGCATGCTTATCAGGCAGACCCGCCACGCACAGACAACCCATTTTCACAACACATCCGACTCACGTCCCTCACCAGGCTGACCTGCTGCCGCACCCTGGGGGAGTCGGGGGGCGGTGACCCCTGGGCGATTCCGTACACGTCTCGGGGCGACCCGGGAAGACCCTGTTGCATGGCCGGCTGTATCCCCAACATACAGTAAGGGTCGCTGAAACCTGCGTACATACAGAGGAGTTGGAATACAAATCGGGGTAAAACATCAGAGAAAAAAAAAAGAAAAGACAAAAAAAAAAAAAAAAAAAACTAATACGCCAGTGATTCCTTCCGATTTTCTGTCTTATGTTCTACCTTTGTGGAGAGATCAAGATCATTAGATGAAATTCCGTCACGATGTATTCCAGGGTCATATTTACCTCTGCGTCAGCCAGGAGGCGCGAGGAGACGGGTGAAGGACACCAACTTTCTCCATCACGCGAAAGACTTGAGTGGTTATTGAAACCGAAAACATGTTTCCTTTGTTACTAAATCATTTCCCTTTCTGTTTGCTCAATGACCCAGTGGTCGAGAAGTAGTGAATAATAGATAACTAATAAACAATGATAATGATAGCAATATTGAAAATACAGTCAATAAAGATTATGATGATAATGATGATGAGAAAATTATAATGATAATAATCAAAATCATTGTGGTGGTCATAATGGTAAAAATGATAAAAATAACAAAACAATGATGATCAAGATAATAATAATTGCAGTGATAAGAATAGTGATGATGATGATGACGATAGAAGTATTAATAATTGATAATAAAAAATAATTAATGAAGATAATGATAATGATAATAACAATAATGTAGATAAGGGTAATAAAAATGATAATGACAACGACAGCAGCAGTGACAACGAAAAATAATGATAACAATAGTGAAAGTAATAATGATAATAATAGTAATATTGATAATGATAATATAAATGATAATCATAATGATAATACTAAACACAATAATAATAATAAAGCCATTAGTATTAGTTCGAATGATGAAAATTATAATGATATTAATAGTAATGACCATAATAATGATAAGAATAATAATCACAATAAAAACATTAAGATTGATAATAGCAATGAAATAACGAACAATAGTAATAATAATGATAATAACAACGATGATAGAAGGATAATAACATTAATAATGACAATAATAGTGATAACAATAATAATGAAAACTAATAAAAAATAACAATAATAATAATAATAATAATGATAATAATAATAATAGTAATAATGACAATAATAATAAGAATACCAATAATAATATAATAATAATGATAATAAGGATAATAATAATAGTAATAATAGATAATGGTAATGATAATGATAATAATAATAATAAATATACTAATACTACTAATAATAGAATAATGATACATTAAGAAACTAATAATAATGGTGATGAGGATGATAATAATAATGATAATGATAATAATAATAAAAATGTGATAATAATGACAACAACATGGCTGATAACGATAAAGAATATGAATGATAATGATAATAATGCTAATGATAATAGTAACAATGATAATCAAAAATTATGATGTAATAATAATATAATGATAATAAAAAATAATTAAATGATAATAATAATAATAATGATAATAATAAATAATAATAATAATAAAAATTAATAATAATAATAATATATATATAATGATACTACTACTACTACTACTACTACTAATATAATAATGATAATAATAATAATGATGATAATAATAATAATGATAATGATATGATACTGATCATAATAATAGCAACAATAATGTTAAAAAGGCTAATGATAACAACAACAATAGTATTATTAGTAACAACAACAACAACAACAACAACAACAACAACAATAATAATAACAATAATAAAAAGGATAAAAATGATAATGATGATAACGAGAACAATAATGATAATAGGAAAGATAGCA